TCACCCTGGGGCTTCCTCCCTTCAGGGCCTGTTCTCTGTCATCCAGAGGGATGGAGCTCTGGCCCAACATTCCTTGGTAATAGTGGCTTGATTTTCATTTCTCTCATGAGAGGTGGAGAGGCGGGGTCTGAGAGGGTGAAATATTGGCTGCCTGTGGTGAGACAATTCTAAGTATGGCAGAAATGCAGCATCTCTTATTCTTTCAACTTGATGTATCCAGATCCGGTTCCCAGAAAGGGGAGACTGAGCCATCTTCAGCTGAGGAAAGGAGAAAGATTTGGGTAAAAACTTTTGGAAAAGTTCTTTAGAAAAAGGAAAGGCTCATAACAATTTGGGCTTCCCTGGTGGCTCGGTGGGAAAGAGTCCACCTACCAATGCAGGAGACGTTGGCTCCATCCCTGATCCAGGAAGATCCCTTGGAGAATGAAATAGCAACCCACTCTAGTATTCTTTCTTGCCTGGGAAATCTCATAGACAGAGGAGCCTGGTGGACGACAGTCCAGGGATTCACAAAGACTTGGACATGACTCAGTGACTAAAACACAACGACACAACAATTCTCTCAAAAATAAACTTTATTTAAGTTACATGTACAGTTTATTAATAAAAGAAATATTTATCTACAGGTCAGCAGGATGGGATGTGTTCCAACATGTGCCTCTAGAATTCTGAAGATCCTGAGCATGATAACTGGTTGTAAGCTCTGGACTCCTGAGGCCTTACATACTCTTAAGTCATATTTTGGTATCAAGTGACATTTTTAAAAAACAAGAGAGTTTTGTCAAAGCCAGTCATTTCATTCAAAGAATTCTTTCCCCTCTGTGCATGTGTGAAATGTGAGCAATGCCCAGGTCTCATGGGTAGATTCCAGAATACCTAAGACCCTGGGTTAGGTATTGCATCATCAATCCATGGACTCAAGTCAGAGTTCTTTCTGTCTTCTTGGGCAGGTATCTCCTTATGAGAACCTCAATATTTAAGATATATTGTGTTATAGTTTGTTTTCCCCAATGTCTTCATACACAGAAATGATGTAGCATGTTTATAAATTCCTTTGGGGACTCTTCATCTTTCACCTTGTAATCCAGTGATCTACTCTACTTCCCATGGCCAAGGAAACCAATTCTGGAACTTTTAGCACCTTGTAGGCCTGGCACTGAACAAACATTTATTCTGTGCCAACCTGACATGGAGGTGCTAGCGTTATACCCTCCTCGTGCTGCCATATTGGAAGCCAGTCACTGTGGGTGTCTGAGAAACCGCGGAAGCATCCAGGGTCATCAGTAAAGGAAACTCAGCAAACACAGGATGTGACATTCAATTTAACCTTCACACAGCACTGCCTCTTTGTCTGAGAGGAGTGCCAGTAAGCACACAAGGTTTGGAGTCACCCATTATTTGCCGCCTCAGTTTTCATATCTACAAAATGGAGATAATACTTACCTATTCAGGTTGTTGTGAAGATCGACTTTTATGTTTTCCTGAACTTCCACAATTTAGGTCCATTGAAACTGAGGGCCCCAAATGAGTGATAAAGACTAACAGGTTGTATTCCTCATTCTTGGACATAAATTGTCATAGCAAAAGTGCAGATGTGTTTTAAGAGCTTCCCCACCATTAAAAGCAAGAATTCCAACTTCTATTGGGTTCAAAATAATAAACTGCTTCCCAAGGTAAGAATTTCTAGGAAATTATTCCAGTTAGACTGCATGACACAGGTGCATACCCCCTCAGAATCTTCTGCTTCGGCATGAGGATAGCTAAAAGGTAGTCTTCAATTTAGGTCTTCTGTTTTCTAAGTGTTAACTGAAGAGTCAGTTCTTCCAGTGCCCTGTATCTTTGCTATTTAAAGCCTGTCTTCTCATTTTTTTAGAAAGGTTATCAGATTACCAAAGATATAAGGAACAGAAGCAAATGTCAAAGTTGAAGTCTCCAGTTTTTTACCTTGTGTTCATCAAGAATAGAACACCAGAGGCTTAGAAATGATACCAAGGCTTTAAAATAGCTATAAGAATGTTTTAAGAGCTGATTGAACAACTAGGGATATTTCTTACCAAACAGATAGCTTGCAAAGGCCATTTAAAAATTTGGAATCAAAACCTTGACTAAATTTCTTTACCAGAGGCCACAGGTCTGTTTATCATCAGTCTTCGTAGCAGTTGGTAAAGTCTCTAGAGGGCTTCCTTTCTGTGACTTGCATGATAGGCTCATTTAACTTCAAACATCCTTCTTTAGTGTCTGCTAAGCTTCATACTTTACCTCTTAATTAATTCTCATTTCCCACATTAAACTCTAGAGACATAGCAAATTTATGCCAATAGGTTTTACATTGGAGTCTTAAAGTTCTTGTGTGGCTCCCGATGCACAAGACTCTAGTCTCCCATGAACTATTACTTCATGCTGAATTGATTAGCCATGTAACTGTTCTGATTTCCATAGAAATATCTAGTTACCACATTTCTTCAAGTGAGTTTGTACTCTTAAGGTAGTGTTTCTGTCCTTGGCTACTTCTGTAGAGGGCAAGGTGAAAGAATGATATGCTATAGACTCTTTGAAGGTTGGAAATTGGGATCTAAAACCTGGAAGTCCTACCAGGGACTGGAATCCAGGAGATGATAGAGGATCTGCTTGGGTTTATTCTTAAAATCTGTGGCTTTGGGCTTTATAGTGGACTAATACTGTATACTGGGAGGGATTGGGGGCAGGAGGAGAAGGGGACAACAGAGCATGAGATGGCTGGATGGCATCACTGACTCAATGGACATGAGTTTGGGTAGGCTCCATGAGTGGTGATGGACAGGGAGGCCTGGCGTGCTGTGAATGATGGGGTCGCAAAGAGTCAGGCATGACTGAGCAACTGAACTGAACTGAACTGAATACTGTATAATCCTTGTAATGGGGGGAAACACTGGTGTCTTTAAGCTTCCAAGGAAGGAGTTCTGTTTTGCTCTAAATGAATAAACCTATCAATGGGTTTTATACAAGAACAAGGTTAAAGTCCCAGTCAACCAGATGGCTTTTAGAGTTTACATAGGACGAATGCTCACCTGCTTATGGAACAGACGCCCCAGACGCCTCACAGGAGCTGCATCCTGTTTAGTGTAATGACTACTTGCAGATGAAGCAACAGGTGGCGGGCAGAGACTCCTACCTTTACAACTGCATCCTTTTCCTCTGCATGCTTGACCTCCACACCCCCACACAAAAACAGGTCCACACCAGAATTCACTCTCGTCCATTTGACTGGCATCACAAGAGGGTATCTATTAAACAAGATGACAGAAGCACCTTCTTCATCTAAGATTATTGGTCTCTTTACCGAAGCCACAAGCCAAATGACAACTGTCTTATTTACATTCCACATGCAAGTGGACTCTGACTCATCCACTGATCCATTTAGCTATTCAAAAATATCATCTCTTCATCCTTTGGCTACTGCACTGATCAATCTGCAAAGACTGCTGCTCCTTCTGCAGTGGACCGTCACCTTGCTTTGGACTTGGAGCATCTTCCCAGGGTTAAAGCCTTATTTCTTCCCTTGCTTGTTGGCTTCCTGAGGTTTAAGAGAAAGAAATGGCCCATATGATGGAAATCTTACACCAGTTGTCTGCTACTTTTTCTTCTACCCAGTGTCCTTTTCTACTCTTCATGTTCCACGTTTTGAAAATTGTCCATAGGATGAATTCATTCTATGCCAGCAAGCCTGACAGATTAGATCACCTTAGATTCTCCAGGAAGTCACTTTAAAATAGTGGTTTTAATTAGTTTACATCAGAATCACCTGAAGGGCTTCTGAAAACACATATTCATGGACCTTTCTCTCAGAGCTTTTGATAGAGCAGGTCCAGAGTAGGGCCTAAGAATGTGCGTGTTTAACAAGTTCCTAGATGATGCAGATGCAAACCTTAACCCCACTGAGAACCACTGCTTTAGACTGTTCAAGAATGGCACTACCTGTTACCTCCCTAGCTGTCTTCAGGGTCGATGGTCTAGAAGTGTAAAAGAAGAAAGTCCTTACCCATGCATTGGAAGGCACTTTTCCTTGAATGATACATAATTTTAGGACATGGAAATCTGAGACAAGTACAGAAAGGAGAATTAATAGAAATCTTTAACATATGTTACTGGATCAGGAAACTAATTGGAGTAGGAAATTTCCTCAAAGGGTTGTAGGTACTGGCTAAACTAGCTTCTTTTACCAAATAAGAAATATTTGGGGAGGCAAGTATTAAGTACTTAGTTGTAAGAGAAACAAGCCATATTATAGGCTTCATCATACAATATCAAGATCTAGAGCTCACATATTTAGTTAGAACACCTGATACTACTCAGGCTGTTTACAGAAATTCATCCTAGAGGAATAGGCACAAACCATGGTTAAGCTGCTTGGTTTAATTTTTTTTTTAGCACTTGAAAAAAAAAATGTACAGTAGTTTGAACACTTAGTCTTTGCAAACCTCCATTGAGGTCAAAGATTTCATTCATACGTACAAAATTAGTTTACAAATTTTTTTTTGGCAATTTCACCTTAGTAACCCGTTTTATCCTATTGCCATTGTCCCAACCATTGAAAAAGTTTACAATAATTTACATAGAAATATTTTCAAAGTGCTTAAGAATAGTGATTGTTCTCTGGGATATTTACAGATGGCCTATACAATGTATGTACAGGTGGTATACACTATAGCACAAGTTTCGTTGCTGGAATATGGCTTTCGAGGGAAAGTGCATATTTGGCCAGAGGTGGCAATACTGTCTAGAAATTCAAGGGTTACAGATACTTTTGGTAACCACATCCAAAACTGAAGGAGAATGTGGATGGGAATATTTACAAAAGTAATATAAAAATGATTAAGTATACAAGCTTGATCCACGCAAAGATATCTTGATGTTCTTCCAGATGGGAGGAAGAAAGAGGCTTCAGCTGCTGGCTTGGTTACCATTCCGAAGTGGGGGGTTTCACTGGTTCAGACCTCAAAGGTCGTGACTTGTCTCAGAAGTCAGGCTAGATCATCGTCTGTGCTTACAACTGATATCTGTGGAACAGAAAAAGCATGGAGTAAGTTTGGTGATTCCCTTGTTGGTAGCAAGTTCATTTTCTAAAGCAAACCTTGTTTTTGAGCTGTTCATTCAGAGACCAAAGGTGCCCAGAAGGGAAGCCAGACCCCAGACTGTACTGAGTTGCATCACTAATGCATTTTAACTTGAATTCAACTATATTTATTGGGTAGAGAGAGAAAATAGCATGACTGATTCTGCCTATTCTCCTGAATGACCTTAGACTGTGGATAAAAATGTGAAAAGACACACATGTGGCATGAACTGACCACCACTCTTGCTTCACCAGAGCTCTGCACTTGTTTTGTTCAGACTGTTCCAAAAGTGAAGGCTAAACACTCCATGTTGGTTTCAACTGAAGATCAAGTGACTGACTCCAGTGTTGAAAGGAAAGATAGCTCTATGAAGTGGGATAGGTGATTTTCAAGCATTGGGTCATTTTGGCTAAATGAACCTTGCTCAATACACTGACTTTAAGGCAACCACCCTATAGGCACCTGCTTTAAGTTCAAAAAGGAGATCTTTGGTTCATGCTAATATTTACATGTAGCTTCCATAACCCAAAATATCTTAAATTGTACAATGATGTCCTTAAGTTGACTTGTCATTCTGTTCAGGGCAGACATTTGTCAACTGACTTAAATTCTAACAGGCTAGACTGTCTAATCTTCAGGGAGTAGATGAAGTACCGGGTTGACCAAAAAGTTTGTTTGGGTGTTTTGATAATAGCTTAAGAAAAACCCAAATAAACATTTTGACCAACCCAATATTTGGTGACTCCATGGTTCTAATGGCTCTTGCCAGCCCAGGGAATCATAGCTTGTGTTGTGGCCTCCTTTCTAAAACGTCTGACTGCAAGTCATGTACATAAAGACGCTGAGCTGACTTACTGCTGGGTACGTGTGTCCAACAGAAGCACTGTGTCTACCAATGTCTATTGATAGGTCCTCTTCAGTGGTCTTCAAGTACACAGGATTGTCAAAGTTCATGCTTTTCATGTTCTTATGTTGCCAATTCCGCCACATCAAGTAGCCACCTACTGCTGCCATTGCTAAGAGCACTGAAAAAAAGTTAGAAGGTGACTAAGCAAGGTCTGGTCTCAAAACACAAAAAAGGAGGATGCTAAAGAATCCATGATTGTTAACATTAATAAAATCTTCATGTTTTAGGAAGCTGGGATGACTAGAAACTAGAATACAAATGGTGTGGGAGCTTAAAACAAGTTCGGACCAGAGGCTGTGTTGTTCTGTAGGCTCTGATGCGTATTAGCTCCTGGGCGGTTGTGGAGTCCTTGGCTCCTCCCCAGGCTGACCGAGTTCAAATTTCAGAAGCTTCTGGAGAGTTCTTCAGATGGTCCTCCTGGTGAGTTAGCTAAGCTTGGAATCCCATAACTTAGGATAAAGAGACCACTGTAGCATATTACCTTACACTTCACATGCCCTAGATAGTGTTAGAGGTTCTTCTCCCTGGGCTTGAAAAGGCTTAACTATTTTTAATGTACCTTCTATAACTCAAGAAATCATTTTGAGAACTCATGTATCTTCTCTGTATGAAGCGTTATACATATTTCGAAGGGGAACAGAAAAGTGCTCTTCACTGGAAGGGACTTATTATGAAAGGGGATAAAGCCAGACAAGCAACTCTGAAGTAGAAAGCAGTGAGCACCTTGTACATAACAACTGCACATTCATGCCTGCCAGCTGCAGTGCTAAGGACACCACTGTAGAGAAGGTGATGGACTCTTAAATGAGCATGCAGCTTGGGGAAGGGGCAAGGGTTCTTCAGTATCCGGAGTGCTGTGACAGTGCAAGGAGCTACGGGAAGGGGCATCTCTGGATGAACTAGAAACAGCCATCCAGTATCTATGAAGTTCCTTGGATCCAGATGTGTGGGGAATGTACTTACAGAGGGGAAGGATGGCCCAGGCAGCAGAAGTCCCTTTAGGGGGAACACTGACCTCCGATACTGCTGTGGTCACATTGATCCCTAGAGGGGAATAAAGGGAATCAGTTTAGAAGGATCTGAATTCAGACTTAGAAATTCACCCACCTGGTAGAGAGCCTCATGCCCTCTCGAATCCACCACTGCTGCTCTGTATCTACTCCAACTGTATTCCAAGAACAACTGGACTAGAAGTATTTGTGAGTCTCATGTTATAATAGCCATTTCACAAACAGCTCTCTCACAGATGTCTTACTAAGTCAGGTCAGGCTAAGGGCTGCAGGTTCTAAGTCTTTGGAGTTTAAATACAGGTTACCAATTAGGGGCAGAATGAGGAGTTAAAGGCTGCATTAATGATGTAAGGGACAGGTACAAAGAGTGTGGCTGTTAGTTGAGATTAACCGTTTGCAGTACTGAACCCAATACCTCCAGGAACTAGTCCACTAGTTGGAGAAATTTCTGCTGTGTTGGTATCTTTTGTCTCATTGTAATTCACAGTAGTTGTAGTACCTGAATTATAAAACCAAGAACCTGGTTAATGCCAAGGTTCCAGAGTGGCTAGCTCTTTAGTCCAGACAAGCCATGCGGTGGGTTATTTTAACACTGGGAAATTGACAAACCACTGCTGAACCGAGTTGCATGGTGGATGTGTCAAAACTAAGGGAAACCTCAGCAAAACCACAGATACACAAGTCTTTGGGCAGAACTATAAGCACTGGGAATTTGACAATTCAAAAAGATATACAGCCACACTTAATGACCTCTCTAAGCAAAGTCCCAGGCTCCTGGAAGTTGCAAGAAATGCTCTGAAAACCATATTACCAGGCATACTAGTCTCACTGTCAAATTGTTTTGTAATTGCTTTCTCAGTAAACTGAGCTTGTCCCTGCAGGGACTCAGTATCATGCTAATAAAAACCTCACATTATGAGATCCTAATTTACAACATGTAAGTTTTAATTTGCCACTTAGTCAAAAGCTAAGAACAGGAGACCAAGATGCAAGTTTCATTTAAGTATGAATTTAAGATAATGTCACCCACTGTGGCCAGAAGTTTTTCTGGAACCCTGGCATTCTTTAAGCCTCATTTCAGACCTTTTTCTCTGGAGGACAATGTTAAGACTTTAAGAATCTGCAAGTTGGCTGGGTCAGTGCTGTTATGGGATTATTTGGTACAAATCAGTATAGTCACCTATAAACTCATCTTATGTGAGTTGGAAGTCCATCCTCAAGGAATGACATGAACTCTTGGTGTGCAATGGTAGCAGATATGTTCTCTAATTTATTCCAAGAGTGAGTTAAAACAGAATTCTTAAAATCCAGGCTAGTTTTTATAGCTAGTGTTTTATCCTATTGCCTGTTGTAGGTCCTGCTTATGGTTGAAAAGGAAAAGGCCTTACTTTGGCATTCTCGGCCATTGTCCTCTAGATTGTACCCATTGGGACAGGAACAGGTGTATTTTGGAGAGTGGTCATTAATCTGTGGGGCGGGCAGGCAGAGGTATTCACATCCTCCATTCTCCACATCTTCTTCACACCAGTTTTTACCTATGCAGGAAGAAAAGTCTTTTCAAAATGGGTCTCCCAGTGCCTGCTATACATAAAGCTTGGTTCTAGATGCTGAAGACAATGTCTTCAAGTCATTGTCTCTAACGATTGCTCTGTCAACCCCTAAAGTTAAGACAATACTTATGAAGGATAAATAGTAGGAGTACAGGCAGCATGCTCTAAGGACACACAGTCAGAGAAACTTCTTGGAAGTAGGAAAAGAGTTACACTGTACACAGATGTGTGGAGGGAGGAGGTGGGGAAAGGAGGTGAGTGAGCAGACCTGGCTTCATTATCGGTCCAAAGCTTACAGCAAAGGCTCAGAGGAAGGAGAGGAAGCATGCTCTTCTGGCTTTGTCTCACTCCCATAGAATGGGAGGAACCCAGCCATGGGGAGGCCTAAGGTTTCATTTCGATAGAACCAGTCATGTAGTCTGAGCAGGAGACCACATGACCAGATGTGTTTCAGCATCTATACAATTCCATACAAGAGGTGTCATGGTGGAGAGAGAGGGAAAGGTGATGGCATAAAAGCTACTTTGGAGGCTTACTTCAATAGTTGTAGCAAGAAGGAATGAATGCCAAGGGAGATGGAAGGGATTGATATAAAAGTCAGGAGGCTGACAGTTGGGAGGGAAGCTAAAAGCTGAAGTTCTGAAGCTCTTTGACCTGTAAGTCAGACTATACTGAGCACCAGGTCTGAAGGGTTGGAGGGAGGGTCCAGTGGGGGGAAATTTCCATTGTGGAGCAAGTTGAGTTGCTAGGGAGCTGCTGATACCCAGAGGGCACTATGCCAGGCTGCCGCCCTGAAAGTAGCCAGAGGGGCTCTGCTTCCCCACGATACCTGATGGTTGTACAAGTTCGTGATAGACAATGATGTCCTGGGCATCATTAAGGTTGTTAACTAGAGTGGCCAGCTCCGAGCCAGTGAATTTATTTGCACCATAGACTGCTTCATTTTCCCCATCTATCCAGTAGACACGATCCTAAAACAGAACCCCCAAATTAGTATGTACATGTAGGATCAACATGAGTCAGTCTCTAAAGTCATTATTATTTACTGCCAATTTAATGGATCAAATTTATTTAAGGCTAGGTTGGGACGTCAGATGTAAAACTCTAAGAGAAGCAAGTTCAGGTTCTTAAAATGCTCTGAGGAATCAGTATGTTGATTGCCCAGGTTTTAGGTGATGGCCCAGGTTTAGGTTTCGGTTTCTCAAGTCATGCCCCTCCATCCTTCCCTCCTTCCCCTATTCTTTCTCTCTAAGCTGTTACAGTAACTCAGAGGTATATGCTTAAATGTGAGACACACATCTTACCTCAAATATTGTGAGTGCCAGGGGATGAGCTAGGAATTCCAGAGACTTCAGGACTATCCTGCGATCTTGGCCGTTCAAGTCCACACTGGATAACATGTGCAATTTGGAATCCAGCCAATAGAGGCGGCCCTTTATAAGGTCTGGTAGGGAAAGAATGGTCAGAAGTCAGAACTGGTCTGCTTCCATTTAAAATATCTAAGGAATCCAGTACTCTGCTTTCACTGTTCCTCCTCTAGCAGGGGTTCTTAACAGGGTCCCCCAAATCTTGTGAAGCAGCATGCAGAATCTGCACCCACATACATCTGGGGGGACTCAAGGGGTACCTGAGATTGTCAAAGTAACTGACTCAAGTGTTAGTGACATTATAGTAGTAGTAAAAGAGGTCAGCATTTTGTTCTTCTCCCCTTAGGAGCCAAAGTACCCAGAAATTCAGGAAATGTAAGGCACCTAGGTCAGGAGTGTTTATGATGAGAGTTCACCTAACTCATGTCACAGATTAGCCCCAGATGGATAGAAAAGCTAGTAATTATGGAGCAAGTGATTTGTTAAGTCCACCATTCCACTTACACTGTTTGGTTCTTCTCATCACAAATCCCTGCTTAAGAAGGAACCTTAGAGTTGTCTGCTATAGTCTAGCATTCACTATAGAGATTAGTAAAACTGTGCAGACAGTTGAATTGTGGTTGAGGAGGGAAGAACACACATACCAAGTGTAATTCCATTAGGCCACTGGATGTCCGCTGTCACCAGCGCCCGTCTGTCAAACCCATTCATTCCTGCTTTTTCAATTTTAGCTGGTTCACCCCAGTCTGACCAGTAAACAAAGCTGGGAAGAATTAAATTAGAAATCAGCTTCAGTGGTTTAGAAGGAATAAAGTTGTATCTTGAGACATACATGTTCAAAGAGTAAATGGGAAACTCTAGAGTATAAATTGTACCACTTATGGGTCAGAGGTATGCTCTGGGTTAACAAAAGTTCACACTCTGGATCAACAAGCTCATTATTAACTATACTAAACTATGTAAGTCTGACATTAAACTTCAGCCCAAAGTCACAGGTGATATATTTCCTTTATGAAAGGCCAATGCTTTCAAGAGAGTAAAAGACGAGTATCTGGTAAGTTTTATAGACACCCAGGGCTGGGCTGTGTTCTAGTGAGGTTTCATGGGAGTCAATTGTGATTACTACAGTCTTGGTCAAACTGCTAATAGCTGCTTTCCTATATTATTTAGGGGCAATTTGGAGGAAGTCCTCAGTGAAATGTTTCTAGAGAGGTTAATTTATTTTCATTGGACTTTCAGACAACTTGCACACTTAGATGAAAGCCTAGAGATAACATGGTTACCAAAATCCTCACAACTCATGTGACTACTTAGGTTGGATCATTCAAGAACTAACCTGATAAAAGTGTTCAGACAAAAATTAAATCACTTGCATTTAGAAATGAGCCTATCTATGAAGCAGAAACAGACTCACAGACATAGAGACAGACTTACGGTTGCCAAAAGGGACATGGGGGAGAGGGGAGGGATAGATTGGGAGTTTGGGATTAGCAGATACAAACTATTATATATAGAATGGATAAACAACAAGGCCCCACTGTATAGCACAGGGAACTATATTTAATATCTTGTGATAAACCATAAGGGAAAATAATATGAAAAAGAATGTGTGTGTGTGTGTACATATATATTTATATATCTCCATATATATATATTTCCAGGCAAGAATACTGGAGTGGGTTGCCATTACTTTCTTTAGGAGATCTTCTCAACCCAGGGATTGAACACAGGTCTCCTGCATTGCAGGCAGATTCTTTACCATCTGAGCCACAAGGGAAGCCCTATATATACACACACACACACACACACATATACACATATAGCTGAATCACTTTGCTAAAAAGTAGAAATTAACCCATCGTAAATCAAGTATACTTCAGTGTAAAAAATGCACAGAAGCTGGGTGGGCATAAGGGTTTAGATACAGCTTTCAATGTATCTCAAATCAGAATTGTTGTTTCCTTCATGTGAACTAGCACGATCTGCTCAGGGAGGGCCTGTCATATAGATGAGTCCATTCCCGGCTTGCTCAACTATGGCACTACTGACATCTTGTACTAGATAAGTACAAGATAAGTACAATTTTTTGTTGTAGGGAGCTGTTAAATCTTGGGATTTCAGTACTATTTTAGGCACAAGGAAAGCTCCTGACCTACACAGATAGCATCTGAAAGTCTATGTGATGAAAAACACAGAATACAAACCCAGACAACGGGTCCACAGCTATGGAGGCAGGCTCTCGCAAGTCAGAATTAAACAGGAACTTCCTCTTGGTTCCATCTAGGGTAGCTACTGAAATAGTCTTAGAAGCCGCGTCAGTCCAGTAGATGGTCTTGTACACCCAATCAACAGCAATGGCTGCAGGATTATAGACATTGTCGATCATTTTAACATGTCTACCAACTTTGTCATCAATTGAGGCACTGAAACAGAATAGGTCACAAGAAATTTAAGAGTTTGACACCATCGGAGCCTGGAGAATGGACTTTTTGCTCACAAAATGGTCAACTACTTTGTTCAGAATGAACTCTAGTAACCCCATAGTTCAACACTCAAATTATGTAACCACGCTGCTTACCAATTCCAAGTTACTAACACTGTAGGTGATCTTGTTGTTGGTCTGCATTCTACTTGCAAGAACACCATACTCTTAAGTGAAGCTACTTGCTTCAGTAACTATCATCTGAGTTTCTACAGTTCCCAATAAGAACAAGCTACCACTACCATTCTGATTGTAGCAACTATGAACTAACTCAACTAACTGGAAAAAAAAAAAGGAAGAACATCAGAGAAATTAAGATGTTACCTGTTATAATCTTATAACTGTAGCCATCTTTTATTTTACAGGTGATTGTTAGTTTCAAATGAGGAACTGATAGTAATTTAATAATTAAAGAATCAGTGTTTAGATGTAATGTGTATGTGTGCTAAGTTGCTCCAGTTGTGTCTGACTCTTTGTGACCCTATGGACTGTAGCCTACCAGGTTCCTCTGTCCATGGGATTCTCCAGGCGAGAATACTGGAGTGGGTTGCCATGCCCTCCTTCGGGGGATCTTCGCAACTTAGGAACTGAAACCGCATTACAAGTCTCCTGCATTGGCAGGTGGGTTGTTTTCCACTAGTGCCACCTGGGAAACCCCTTAGGTTTAACATTCCTGACATTCAGTGCTAGACTGAAACTAGAGATGAGGGAAATTCCTCCAAACCTTCAAAAGGCCAGTGACAAGGACTTAGACCAAGACACCAAGAATGGAACTGTAAGTTACCTGAAGATGGCCTTTTGGCTTAGATCAGCCCAGAATAGTTTCTGAGAGGCAATGTCAGCATCAAGAGCCACAGTGTTTCTCAGCTGTTCAACTAGTTGGATATATTCTTTCCTCTCCAAGCCAATCTTCCTGATGTCTCGTCTATTGGTGAAGATCAGACTTGGCTCTTTGCCTGAAAGACAGGAGTCAGGTTAATTTAGTTTTGCTGAAAGAAGACAAGGTCCTTCCAAGTTACTTCCTCCCAATAGAGGAGCACTTAAAAAGTGAGGGCACTGCTGAACACTTCAGGAGTCCTCTTGCCAAAGTGCATGCCCCTGGGCCTGCAAGTGCTTCCTACCGTTTAAGAATGCAGTCCTCGGGTCATAACATTCAACAAAACAGGGCAGCTGATGAGTAAGTTACTTATTTGAATTGCACTCAAGTTTTGGAAGCAGAGAATAAGCAGGTATTCATGATACATATGTAAAAGGAATTGACTGAGACAGGCATCTGGGGCAATGATTTGCTATCTAACATATGTAACTGCACTGTGAATTTACTAGCATTGCTCTCAAGTACTATTTTATTTTCATATTTCATTAGGCTGTTGCAGTCACTGGCTGTACCTTTCATGAGCACTTGCTCATAAAGGTACTAGAGCAACACCATCCAAGTCCATTTACCTACTGCCTTGCACACGCCCGTGGCAAGATCCATTTGATACCCACGACTACATTCACACTTGTAACCGCCTTTTAAGTTGATACAAATTTGACTGCAGATTCCCGGATTTTGGCATTCATCAATATCTAGGAGGGAAATTAGAATTAGTCTTGCTATTCCTAGATGACCTACAGAGATCTTCTAATCTTTCCCATCACCCCCCGGGCTCAGGCTCTGTTCTTCAACTCACCTCCGCAGGTTTTCCTATCTATGAGTTCAAACCCAGCTGCACAGTCACATTCATAGCCTATAACTAGGTCTTTGCAGATATGGGAGCATCCGCCATTATTAACCAAGCATTCATTTACATCTGAAATAAAAAGGTAGTAGAGTTACTCAATACTCAAATTAATATTCGATTTATTAACATTTAAAATCCAGGCTATTTGTGATAACTTGTCTAGATAGTCTAGTCAAACCCATGATTTTTCAAGATCTAATAATGTGACTTGCAGATATATATCTCAGCCTGTATTGGGGGAATAGTAAACCCAATCTCTTGGCAAGTTAACAGTTGGTTAAGCAGTATTTAATCAAGGTTCTCTATTGCTGGTTGGTTATCGTTAAGGGGGTGAAACTATGAACTACTTTGTCAGCACTTTTAAGTCATAACATTTCACTTTTAAGCCCAGCAACTGAATCTAGTTCATTAAAGTAGTTTACCCAGGCATTAGGCAGGCTCCAAACCGCATTAGCTCTGCTGGGTCTACCTAACCTGCCCAGCTCTGCGCACGCAACCCCTTTACTTACGGCATTCTTTCAGGGGCTCGTCACTCCAGTCCCTGCAGTCTTGCTTCTGGTTGCACACTTTACTGATATCAATGCATTCCCCACTTCTGCACTTGAACTTCCCAGGACCCAAGCACTGGTTGACTACAAACCGGGACACAGAAGAGAGATGCCATCAGTGGGTCTGATCAGAGCAATCATTGGACTAACAACCCATAGCCCGGGGACACCTACCGTTCTTGCAGTTGACTTCATCAGAACCGTCCACGCAGTCTCGGATGCCATTACATTGCCTGCTGCCATGGATGCAGCTGCCGTCCTCACACTCAAACTGGTCAGGTCGGCAGGTTCGGGAAGCTACAGGGGGAGAGAATGGCATGGGGTGAAGTCAGCCGAAGTGTCCCTGGTGGATACATGGGTGAGAGCTGAGCATGCCACACTGACAGGAAAGTGACTTACGACAGTTGACCTCATCACTGCCGTCCTTGCAATCGGGATCCCCATCGCATCGCCACTTCTTGTGGATGCACTCGCCAGAGCCACACTGGATCTCGCTGGCTGGGCACCTGGTGTGGATCACTGGCTGGCGGCCGCACTGCTCCAGGGACTCATCCGACTGGTCCGAGCAGTCTGCGTCATCGTCGCACACCCAGCTGATGGGGATGCAGGAGGAGGTGCTGCACTGGAACTCGTGGGGCCCACAGGTTGGTGGGGCGCAGTCCAGCTCGTCGCTGCCATCACTGCAGTCATCCTGGCCATTGCACATGAAATTCCTGGAGATGCAGCGGCCACTGGAGCAGGTGAACTCATCAGAGCTACACGTTATGTTGCCTATTAAGAGAGAAGATGTCCCATTGAAAACTCATCAGGATTTGTCCTTTCAAGCCTCTTGTTCCCAAATCTAACATGCAGGTCATGGATCATGAACCCCAGCTTTTTCACCTAACTTAAAAGCGAAAGTTGTATTATATCAATACTTCCCAGAATACCGGGAAACAGCCTTAACATGTAAAACAGGCAAGGACATTTGAAGAGGAACAGAAATGAAGGAATGAAAAAGTAGATGAAGACTAAAAATTCATTTGGGATGAGAAGCATCTTAAAGGGACAACAATTAATAACTTAAACTGTCACAAGATACTTCATTGGGAAAGGTAGACATGAGTTCTCTTTAAATGGTTACACTGCTCATCAGGCCAGGCCACATCCTGAGCTGAGATGATGAGGCATCAGGTACATGAGCAAACATTCACTCCTAATAAGCACTGTGACACCATCACCAAAAAGAAACCTCCGTGTATTATACCACCATACACGGTTCTTTCTCTTTTGGTCCTTCCAATCAGGATCAGGAGTAACAGGTCTTAAGTATTTTCAAGTTTTGGAAAGTCACTTCTGGGGCTAGAACCGCAATCTAGCAGCCAGGTGCGCTAATAATGATAAGCTAGTCAGTTGATACTTTGACTCAAATTCCTGCCAAATTAATAAAGGTCAGAATTTGGTGGTAATTGGGGTGGAGACCACGACTCTCTTGGGAAGCAAAGTCTAGATTGAAGAGGGAAACACTTGGCAGCTCCATGGCTTACCAGCACATAAGCTCAGTTCTAGGATTCAATGCCAAAACTCATTGGACTAGGTGCAATTGTAATGACCTTGGGATGTGACTTCTACGCGCAAGACTGGTGTTTCAACCACAGGTGCCCTCAACTCATTGTACACTTACTGCATCAGGAGGCCTATGCCTGTCAGGCTCGGCAGTTGTGTTTTTAAAGGCCCTATAAAAAGGTGGATGCTTGAAAGAACATTCAACACAATGTCTGTTCAACCTAAAGATTTTCCCAGGGCCTCACCTTTAACATGGAGCATTTTATTACATGTTTTCCAAGAGCAGAAACATGAAAGGCTAGGAAACAGAGTGAGTTTTTACAGGTAGGAACTGTGATAGGAGACAAAGTACCACCGGTTGGCTAGAGTTTTCTTTGGGTATCGCTAGCAAGGCATTAATTTGTCCTTCTGTGCCAGTTTAGCTTTTGGAAAAGTTAAAAGAGAATCTGGTTTGGGGGCTGAGGAATGCTTGTGTGAGACTCAAGTAATTTATGCCACTAGGCAGATCCAGTTTCAACCTGGGGGTGTGTTTGCTGGCTTTAGTCTCCTCGTTTGATGGAGCCCAAGTGAGGAAGGCCCACGAGCTGCTGTCCTAACCGAGACAAGAGTGCACACAATCGCTGCTTCACTGAGCCACCTCTACATGGAAGTGCCTTGGAGGACTTACCTTCTTATTTCTATTTGCCTAGAAGAACCAGCCAAGCAAGCAATGGTCAGTTACCATGCACACACCTCTCTGAGTTTGAGGGCAGTTAGGAAAGACAAGGAGTCGAGCAGATAGTGAAGTCACTAGAAAGCAAGTCAAGTCAACTGCACCTTCACGCCCACCCTTCTTGGAGCAAGAGGGTCTTTGGGTTAAGCCACTCAACACTGATCTTCTTACCACAGTTTTCTTCATCTTCTCCACTGTCACAATCATTTTCACCATCACACCGCCAGGACACTGGGATGCACTGAGTGGAGCGGGCACCACAGCTGATTTCATTTGTGCGGCATGTTCTCATATCTGTTGATGACATACAGTCTCAAAAGAGCCTCCGAACTCATCAGCACCAAGCTGCTGCTCCTGTGCTGCCTGGAAGTGGTGACATCTGAAACTCAGTGGCCGGGCACACAGCTGAAATTCGACTGACTAGCTGGAGCTTGGGCAGATCTTCCGTCGGCTCCACGGCTGGGGAGCCAGGCCAGCCCAGACTACCTGGCAGTCCACCCGAGAGCCTTGACCGTGCTACTCCGTCAAGGTTCTGTGGCGTGTGCACTCCTGGCTTTTGTTTTGTTTGGCATGCTTGGGTTCCTTGGCTGGCCTGCTCCTTGACCATTATGTATTTTGTGTATCGAGTGACACACCCAGATATTGGCAACTAATGCCAACTTCATTAAAAGTCAGATGGTCTAATACCTATGAAGTCTTCTTTTGCCTGAATTTCTTCACAGGCCTCCTTCAGATTGACATCTTGTGAAGTAGGGGCACCCTCTAATTCTTGACTTTACAGGGCCATCCCCCACTAAAACTTGGAGCTGGATCTTTATGGAACCCGTTTTCACCTAAGCTAACTCACCTCCTTTGGTCAGTGCTCTTATTACTCACCTTACTTCTTGCCTGGAAAACTGCAATTAACACACATCTCTTCCTTTTTTGCTTAATTTTCCCTTGTAATCTTATATTCCAGACCTAAACTTTGTTCATATTAGACTTCCACTTTTAGCACTTTAACAGGCCTCTACTACCTTAGAAGGAACATGAAAACTTTCTTCACCAGGACATGCAAATAATTCTAACTTATCTATCCCACATCATCTTCCTCTATGATCTCATAGACTTTCTCCTGAATGTGAAGCCTAAGGATACATGTGTACTTGCATACCTATGAAGTTTCTCTTATATAAGAACAAGCTGTAAGCTCCCTACTTAAATAAATTTAGGTTACATGTTTCTTAAAATCACTCATATCATCCTGTTTCTAGTCACCTTACCCCTTCAGCCGTAGATTTTTTTTCTCATAACATGAGAAACTCTGCATCTAAAAGCTTATACTTGGCACACAGGGGACCCTCACATCTTGACTTAGCTTCCAGGACCAGAGTACCATCTGCTCGGAGCCATTATCATCGAACATTTGAAATCTATGCACCTAGTCAAGGAGTTCTTAAATCTTCTGGCTTCAGTCTTAAATGTTCAATAGTGAAGCTACCCAAGAGAATGTCAGTCTTGTCAAGATTAGGGAGAACATTCTTTAACGTTATTCAAGATTGACTGATGGTGATCTAACTGACCTTGGAAGTCAACTGGCCTAACTTTAAAGAAGGGCAAGGAAAACTAGGCAAATTTTAGAGTATACAATACTTAGAGCTATGAGACATGGAACAGCTTCGGGAAGTTCAAGTCCAAAGCGAGTCACACTCACGGCACTGTTCTGGGCTTTCATCAGAACCATCTTCACAGTCGGGATCCCCGTCACACTGCCATCGATTAGGAACACACTGGCCATTGTTGCATACAAAGTCAGACTCAGCGCATGTCTTCTTCACTACAGAAGTGGATTTGCAGGGTTAAAGTTGAACTCACTCACCCAAGAGCCCTACATTCCCACTAGGGGTACAACTGCATTTGAGATGCTTTACTCTAAAAATAAAGCTAAGTCAATTAGCAATCAGCTGCTAATATCCAGTAGGACCTTAGAAAAATCTTTTTTTCCCTCCTTTACCCCTAGAGGAGGAAGGCAATCATTTGTGAGACCTGGAGGACACTGAGGTCAAGGCATCCCTTCCAATGAACTTCTTGCCCATTTTATAATGTTGAGGTTGAGTAATAAGTTCATTCTTTTCATGCATTTCTTCCAAGTCATTTAAGCGCTTCATAAGTTTAACAAACATTTCATCTTACGACTGGCTCACAGTATAACTGTTTTAGGTGCACCTTGTAACAACACATGGGTTAAGCATAGAGACAAGGCCAAGCTCCGGTACCAAATACTATCACCCCTACAGGTCTACTGGGGCAGAGGAACCCACTGGCTAAGAAATAGAGGAAGTGCAAATCTGAGTGTAGGAGAAGTTGTATTTAGCAACTGAAGGGTGGGCTCACATCAACCAGCTAAAAGTCACTGAACTTACTATGGAAGCTGCCAGTCCTCATAACTGACTACTAAACAGCCTGAGACAGGTATCAGATCTGCTACTAATTCTTACTAGAGCAGACTTTTCTCCTTAACTAGGGTGACTGTGTAATTTGTCCAAATCGACACAGTCCCAGTAGAAAGAGGGCAGTCTTATTTTTACAGGAAGATAAGCGCCATTCCAGGACTGTGCTAAGCCAGGCAGCAGCTTGGTCATCCTTCCCAGGAGGAACTCCCTACCCAGCGAGTGGGAAGAATCCTGACAGGGAAACACATAGGGCATTCCAAGAGCATCCTTCTTAGGTTACATTCTTCTTTGCCCCTGAGCCTATACTTTCTACTTGAATTTCCAGCCTAAGTCATTCTTTAACAAATATTCTGAACGGAAAATCAGCTAAAAGTCAACAATTTATTGAAAATATGAAAGAGGCCAGTTCAAGTCAGGGGTTTAAGCCAGGTACAACTCTCAATTCAGAGTGCCCTAAACCAGAGGGCTGCTCTGGGTTAGCCTCAGATATTGTTAATGGGGTGACTTTCCTAGGCAGTGCAGTGGTGAGGAATCCGCCTGCCAATGCAGGAGACACAGGAAACGCAGGTTAAATCCCTGGGTCAGGAAGATCCCCCAGAGAAGCCAATGGCAACCCACTTCAGTACTCTTGCCTGGAAAATCCCACAGACAGAGGAGCATGGCAGGCTACAGTCCACAGGGTCGCAAAGAGCTGGACACAGTTGAGTAATGAGCATTGTTAATGGAGGGACAGGATTATAGTCAACTTCTAGAACTCAAGATGGGATGATCAATTATGATGATCTGAAAAGGATTATTTATATCCTAAAATTGTGTAGCCAAGGGAACAAGAAAGGCCATATTACTTTTCAGATTCACACCTGCTTCTAAAATCACTGAAATGCTCAAACCCCAGTGTTCATAGTTTAGGTGATATCCAAGGCGCATCTTCTCCTGAGCCTGTAGAAAGATGCCAGAGGGTCTCGGTTATTGTAATTCACCCTGTGATACTCTTCAGAAGTTGCAAAAGAGAGAGTAGGGAATGGTTATAAAGAGACCTCATGAATTTATAAAGTATAAGATGTTACAGGGATAGAAAAGATTGGTTGTATTACAAAGTGAACAAGAGACACATAGGGTGAGTAGATTGTAAGGGTTTCTCTCTCTCCATTCTGAACACAGACTGGGAGGGTAAAGATGGGCTATTTGAACTGAGCCTTGAGAGATGGATAGAAATTTAGATGTGTCACGGGGAAAGAGAACTACTAGTTCCATACTGAGGGTATCTGAGTTACTGATTTATCAGGTCAGCCTAACACCTGTAGAAGAATGAGTTACTGGGACTCATAGAACATGGCTTGTAGAATCCAAGTTGAAGTTGACTAAATATGCTAGTTGACATGCTTGAAAGAAAAAGCCCTGCTGAAGTTGTAACCAAGTTCAACATCAAGAGGTTGGACAGGAACAATAAGAAGTGGCTCTAAAAGTGTTAAGTAATTGTGTAGCCTTTCATGGCAGAACATCTCCAAATAAGCATTCACAGCTTCCCGAGCAAAGCTCCCACTTTCCTTCTCTACTCTCATACCTGGAAGGCAGAGACAAACTATGGCCAAGAATATATTTCCTTTCTCCCATTTTGTGTGATCTAGATTGTATGTACATCTACCCCTTATCTCTTCCAAATCTTCCTGTGATGTAGCTAGAACTGATTGACGTGGAGACTATTTTAGGAAAAGCCAGTGATGACCCCTACAATGACTCAGGTTAGTTTCTACTGAGGTCGTCAGATGGTAAAGTAAGACTTCAAAACTTCCAAACATGGAGATAATAATTACTCTCTAAGAACACAAAAGGGTTTTGCCAAATACATAGTTTAGCATAGAAGAAGAATTGCTACTTACAGTAAGAGCACAGTTGACAAGAGTGAGGTCCTTTAGTGAGAAAACTAGTGAAAGAATTATATTATCCAGGTGACACAGAAAGAGCATGGAGCTCAATATCTTGTAGAGTAGATTAAGATCTTAGTGTTGGAATGCAAAGATGTAAACATATCACATAGAACTATTCTTGGTCCTGAGACTGGAGATAAGCTGCTTTCTTGAGATTGCAGAATGGACTTAGTCTGCTTCCAAATGAGCTACTAATTTACATATTGGCATGCAGGCATCCATGATACTGCTCTGAGAGCTCAAGCACAGGACAGCCTGCCAGGATGTTTATACTATAGGATTTTAGTAATGATGCATGAAGAAGCAGGCCAAGGGCCTAACAAGATAGCAGTTGATGAAAACTACACTTAGCTTCTATTTTTCTTCTGTATTTTTAATTTGTATAGCAGATATCTTTATGTAACGTCTTTTAAAAGATAAACGACAATGTTAACACCGACATTCATGAACAACCTTGTTTCAGCAATTTAATGACATGGAACAAAGGGATCATAAAGCAAACTTCAGCTTGTATTCAAGGTCCCTAATGCCGTCATGACATGTAGTTCACAGCTGTCCCGGCTCAGTGAGAGGTGACACCAATTGCAAAAGCAGTCATTTCTCACAATAATCTTTTAATAGATGCTGATCGATTGGTATAATGGCATATCCCTGTTTTCTTGGGGAAGAGAATGTCTTCCATCCTGTCTAGTGCTTTAAAATTAGCATCTCTGGAGAAGAGGAACTGTAAAAGAATCCTTATCTGATCTTTGATCTGGGCTGGTTTATGAGTTACTGAGACTCACAGAACATGGCTTGTAGAATCCAAATTGAAGTTGACTAAATAGGCTAGTCGATTACACTAGCCTATTAGCATAGGCTAATATGCTAGTTGAACTAAATATGCTAGTTGAAGTTGACTAAATATAACAGGAATTAATCTCTGAAACTGCAAGGGATTTCTTACTGTCCATGGCTTGCTTTTTGGGGGGTCAAAACCATTTGAGAATTAAAAAAAAGTCTTTTCTAAGCAATCTTCTGCCTCTATTCCTGGTCCTCCCCTCCCTTTCCCTAGCTTCCTACCCCAAAAGTTTGCCTGATCTAAGATCAACCAGGTCCTTTCATTTGAAAGGAACTCCACTTTATCTTCATGATTCCATACTCAGGTCAATAACCTCACACACTCAGTTGTATTCCTCCTAGACCAGAAAGTATAGAATCTTTGGACTCAAAGCAATTCTTAGGAGTGGATTCAGAATCTTGACACATTTGTAGACGCAAAAATAACGCTGTCCTCTTTCAGTAAAATGCCCAAGTCCCAGCGAGGAGACAGACGAGACTGTCCGGCTCTTTACTCACCACAGTTCTTCTCATCACTGCCATCAGCGCAGTCTTCGTCCCCATCACACTTCCACAGCAACGTGATACATCGGCCATTTGTGCACTGGAACTGCGAGGCTTCACATTTGGCTTTTCTTCCTAAAAGCAGGAGGGAACACTTAGCTAAGCTGGGACACCCGGATGGGAAGTTAGAGATGCTAGTTACCTGAAACCCATGGATAGGCGTCCTCTCAGAGGGACAGGTGCAGCCTCAAAGGCTGTAACACCGTAGGGGCTGGAGCTGCATGGGCCTTGGGGCAGTGGCTGACAGTAATGAGTTCTTAGCTGAGCCCACACTGTCTACATAAAACTAGATCTCCCAGTCTCTCTTACAGGAGGCATAGCCATGGGATGTTCTGGCTGATGGATGTAAGCAGAAATGGTATATACAATTTCTGGGAAATATCCTCAAAGGGAGAGGGGATCCAGTCTCCTCAATTTTGTTCCTTTCTGGTTCCTGAAAACCAGGCATGGAGGCTGGAATAGTGATCTTGGGTCAATGAAGCCAGACCAAGACATAAGGAATGCAGACTGCCTACAAACTGCAGGTGGTAGGGCAGGGGTTCACCTGTGGACTCATTTCTCTCATTTGTTTAAGTCATTTTGTGTCACTATAATCATGCAGCCAAATCCTAATCCTTTAATGGCATTTGTTGCCCACATTCTATACCATTACTCATCAATGATATTTTTATGATGAGCAAAGTAAAGGAGATTTAGAAGAGGTGGCAAGGATAGAGGTGAGGTTAATACATGGCTCCTTGTCTTAGAATTTGAGTCTAATTGGAAAAAGATATGTTTACAAAATAACTCCAAGATAAGATAAAAAGCATGAAAGAAGATATAGTTAAGAGGTGAAGGGAGATCATTTTTTGAAATCTAATTTTTATATTAGAGTTGATTTACAATGTGTTAGTTTCAGATGTACAGACAAAGTGACTCAGTTATACATATATCCATTCTTTTTCAGATTCTTTTCCCACATAGGTTATTACAGAATATTAAGTAGAGTTCCCTATGCTATACATTAGGCCCATGTTGATTATCTACTTTATATATAGTAGTGTATACATATTAATCCCATATTCCTAATTTATCCCTCCCCCATTTCCCCTGTGGTAACCATAAGCTTGTTTTTAAAGTCTGTGAGTCAATTCTGTAAACAAATTCATTTGTATCAGCTTTTTAGATTCCACATATAAGTGATATATGATATTTGTTTTATCTGACTTACTTCACTTAGTATGATAATCTTAAATTCTATCCATGTTGCTGCAAATGGCATTATTTCCTTTCTTTTTAATAGCTGAGTAATAGTCCATTATATTAGGTTGGCCAAAAAGTTCATCTGGGTTTTTAAAATGAACTTTTTGGCCAACCCAATATACACATATCACATCTCCTTTATCCATTCCCCGTCCATGGATATTTACATTGCTTCCATGTCTTGGCTATTGTAAACAGCACTGCAATGAACAGAGGGGTGCATGTAGTTTTTTGAATTATGACTTTCTCCATATATATGCCCAGGAGTGGGACTGCAAGATCATATGGTAGTTCTATTTTTAGTTTTTAAGGTACCTCCATACTGTTTTCCATAGCAGCTGTACCAACTTACATTCCCACCAACAGTGTAGGAGGGTTCCCTTTTCTGCACACCTAAATAAAGGGAAATCATTTTTAACTTAGTGATGCGAGAACAGCAAAACATGGTGAAGCCACACACCTGGATTCTATTTCTCTGAGCCTCAGTTTTCCTGTGCTCAATGGATGAATATAATTCACATAGTGGCAAGAAAGAACATTTGGAAGTAGGGCACTTAGTTTTTTGCCAGGCATGGGGCAGCTAACATTCAGGCGTTTCCTATCATTAGCAGGTTTGTCCTCATGGAGGATGTAATTTCTTTGGGAGAAAAGGCAAAGATCTGGTTGCTAAATGCTGATGTACTGCAACTATTCGAGAAAGCCAGCCAGTGGAGGCATACAGTTCATGTAGAATCCTTAGCGAGGCCTTCCAAGCAGAAAGCCTTGAGCCTTCCTGCACCTTTCAGCATCTGCAGCTGAGGCATGCAGGAATGAGAACAGATGCTATAGTGACAAGCACAGACTGGGACTCTTGTATTATGTATACAATGCTCTAGTTGGCCTTCCTACTATCAGCTACTCCCTACTCTCTGGGAGCATTCTAGGCTTTGCGGCTAGTTCCCAGGAAGATTAAAAATTGCTCCTAGTTTACCATATGGGTGTGTGATTACTTAGGTACTAAATGTGCTCATTTCAAAACTATATGTATCATTCTGCCCTCAAGAGTCTAGTTAAGCTAGGACCCAGATTCAGAGGGGTATGACTCAATGGCACTTCCTACCTATATTTCATTTTTCACTTTTTAAAACATTTTAATTTTTTGGCCCCACCACATGGCTTGCAGGATTTTAATTTCCTGACCCAGGACTGAATCCAGACCCCAATAGTAAAAGCACTAAGTCCTAACCATTGCACCACCGGGGAATTCTGCCCAGCCCCAGTTTTTTGGGTTTTTAAAAATTTACAATCTTAACCATTTTTTATTATTTATTCATTTGGATGTTCCCTGACCAGGGACTGAAGCCAAATTCTGGGGGCATCTGAACCAGGGCCCACTGGCTATGGTGCTTTGTCTGTACTACCTCTGAAGGTTGTGGGAGTGGTAAGAATCTACTTTGAGTACTTTATTTGAAAAGTTAAAAAAAAAAAAAAAGAACACTGTATAGTTAGAGAACAGAAATATACATATATGACAGAAAAGTCAGGTTGCGCTTAGAATACCTTTTCAAAAGGTTATCGTTACCAAAAGTTGTTTGGTCATAATGTGAGGCAAACAACATGGAAAAGATAACCATATAATATGACTTAGACAGGATTTTAAAGTAGGCATTAGATGATGGTTTTCCACTTCGGGGTTAGGTACCTGGCAGATCTCTTTAAAAATGAGTCTTGAAGCTACAGATTTTATAGACACTCAAGCTGCTCTGAGATTAAAGATGGGCACACAATAGTCTAAGGCTGGTGTTTAGTCCACTGTCACCTTAAGGAGGCTCTCTGAATGTAACTGTAACATACAAGTAATCAACAGTAACAGATACTGGGCTAAAACCCCAGCAATGCTGCCTCAAGAGTGGCTGTTTCGTGGACTCAGGACAGACACAGGCATTTTCTTAGTGTTTATTCCAATATCTTTAGACAAAAAAGGAGTTTAATTTCTACCTTTTCTTATCTCAGATGTTTCCACTTCACCCAAGCTTCTGCCCAATGGTCGTAAAGCTATGCTTTACCATAGCACGCACAGCTCTCCATCAAGAACTTTATCAATAATGGGGTTGGAGTGGAGTATGCTACTAATCAGCCATCCTTGCTTGTTTAAAAGAGGAGCAGGGTTGGGGTGGGGCTGCGTAAAGCTCACTGACTTTATAAAGGGTCCCTTCTTTAAAGACAGGAGAAGAAAGATGCTAAGCGCCATGGCCATGCCTCAGTTTCTTGTTTCCTAAGCACTTTATTTTGGGAGATTGCTCCTGGGCAGACAGGGTTCCCTGTGTTAGTCGATCAGTGTCCACCACTTCGTGACCCCATGGACTGTAGCCCGCCAGGCTCCTCTGTCCATGGGATTTTCCAGGCAAGAATCCTGGAGCGGGTTGCCATTTCCTTCTCCAGGAGATCTTCCCGATCCAGAGATCGAGCCCAGGCATCCTGTATTGCAGGCAGATTTTTTTACTGTTTGAGCCACAGGGCTCCCTAGTTCTGTTTAATTCCCTGCGTTGTGCAGGGTTGGGGTAGTGTGGGGGGACAGCTCAGCCACCTGGTTGCAGCACAGTGGGTTTTCTGTCCAGGTTTCCAGAAGATTCTCCCTTTACACCTGTGGTGCTGACCAGGGAAAGCTGCCGTGCAGAGTTCCAGGAGAACTGGAAGCACCAAATGAGTTAAGAAGCTTTTGGTTTGCAAAGCTTTGGGGGATTACAGGATTGTGGCCTTGTAGTCTATTTCCAGCCATGACAGTTAAGTCTCCAGTTCAGTATTATACTTTCATAAAGGGAATAGGGTGAGCTCAAAATCGTTGACACCCAAGGTCCTTTTAATGCTTAGGCTAAGCTAAAGCCAATGATGCCTCAAAAAAATAAGTTATAAGTAGAAGCACTAGGCATTCTCTATTTCAGGGTCTATTTGCTCAGAAAGGTGAAAAGTCAGAGTTAACGGGATTTTTAGTGGGTTCGTCAAAGTCACGGGGTTCACAAGAATGCTTTTGCAGCACTGAGGTGGTTGAAGTCAGGGGAAAGGCTATGACAGCAGGGAACCTGGTTGTTCTGTCTCTGTTTCAACCAGTATTTCTTTTCAACATTGAAATTTTGTGTAAGAATTTGGAAAGGGTCCTACAGCTTTAAGAAATCAAACAGTCGGACTAGATCTGGGGCTGCTCTCAGCTCTAATACTTAGCATGAACACCCCTGCCTCTTTGGGCCAGGGGGTTGGAAGTCACTTGGACCTAGTCATCCACATGGCTGTTTGCATTTGTAATGACTGAATGCCCAGAAACACTGAAGATTTCCTTGCTTATTGTCACACGGTTGATACCAGACTTGACAAACAGGAGCCTTGCTTGTTACCTAAATAGGTAACGTTGTTACCCAGATATGCTGGCATTTCACTGGCTCCAAGAACCTCAGGGGTTTTCATGCATTTAACAGGCAGCCTGCTGTTGTTGTCTAATTGTCCCTGCAAGGGTTAATATGGAAGAACAGTATGTAAGCTTTTGGAAAAAAACTGTATAGGTCTATGCCAAGCTTTCCAAATGGGCCAGAGTTCTCTGTAGGGCTCCAGGTGGCACCTTTGCAGGAGCGGTCCAAAAGAAACGCCCAGAACAAAGAGATGTTCCTGTGTCAGGCTCAGACACGAACTTCACTTTGTACAGAGGGGCTGCGGCTGCCACACTGCTGGGACTAGCAAGGCCACATGTTCCCATCTCTCACAGGCCTCCCATGGCTGAGCACACGGGTGTTATCACCTCCTGGGATTTCTTCAGTCCATTTGTTTTGGCACTTCTGGGGCCGCCAAGGGCATTTATTTTTAGT